ATGGATTTTTAAAATATTTTTAAAATATTAACCAGCCTGCTTTGCTCATCTAATTTCATAAATTCCTTTCCAAACTTTAAAAAAGTTTTGTAGTTTCGAAATTGCAAATGTCCATATTAGAGAAAATAATGAGGAAAGTAATCACTTAGAGTAATAACTGGATGAATGATAGTTATAGATATGATGGATTGTTTCTGGAAGGAAGCCAGTGGGCTATGACGGATGAAGCTTATTAGTATGATAGATAAAGCTTATTAGGCTATGTGATACAATGTTTTTAATAGATATGAAAGCAATCGTTTATTCTGTTATGATTGTAGCAATGAGTATTTTTGACTATGGAGTCGGAAACTTTTTTTATTATTTCTATTGTTGTGTTTTCCATCTTTTTGTAGAATGTGTTCAGCAGTGTTATATCACCACCAGAAGTTGGGACATATTGTTATTGTCTTCAACCTTTTTTGTGGATGGTGTTCAGCAGTTGGTATTTGGTGGTTGATGTTTGGTATTCAGTGCCTGTAACAAATAGCAGGTGGTGACATTTTGTATGTTAACGCTAATGTTATGTTATTATATTCGGCATTGAGCTTGGCTAGTTTTTTATTGAAAGGGATTTGAAAATAACTTGTTATCAATTTTCTATGCATTTAAAAATATAAGAAAACTCTTTCATGTTATTTTTATGGGGTTATTAAAGGGAATGATATGATAATTTGAGGTACTTGTATGCAATTATGGTCTATTCGTGATAACTAAAATTGATAAATATTGTCTGGTAGTAACAATAAAAACTATTTTTATCATACTTGAAAAGTGCTATACAGTAAAACCTGTCTTAGTGAACACCTCTATCTAGTGAACACCTGTCTCTAGACACCCTTTCTCCACACATACTTCTGTATAAATTACACTCTCTGTCGTGTACACCTACCTACAGTGAACATATTTTTGTGGCCCAATAGTACAAAGGACTGAAACAGCAAGAAAATCTTTACACACTGAACGATATTTAGTTTCCCAGGGAAAATTGCCGGTCGTTAAATGCATTCTCGACCGGTCTGAAATGCATTCTTGACCACCACTATGACGTTACATATTGCTCAGGTCGATATAGTAAAATGAACGCCTTCTAAACTAGCACTGAAACCCCTAGAACTGGCCCGGCAAGGTGGTAATAATAGGTGTTCACTGTATACAGGTTTTACTGTACTGTCATCATCATAATCTGATAGGTAGGTGCTACAAGGAATATTGACACGAAGACAGCAATAAAAGTGTTGATACCATTTAACTTATAATTTACAGATGCAAAAGCAGACAAGCAGGGGCGGATCTGAAATATGAAAATGAAGAAAGTTCTGGCCCTAAATTTGAAAATTTAGCCCTAATAATTTAAAAACACAATGTAAGTCAAGAATTAAAAGATATTGCCCAGTATAACTAAATTGCCCAATTTATGTAAGGAGATACAGATTATGTGTCCTAATTTTTGACCCCACCCCCAGATCTGCCAACGGACAAGAACCAAGAAAACTTGGGCCTGCTAAGTTATTTTAAAAGTGGTCGTTTTGCTGCAGACCCATAGCCAGGATTTGCCCAGGGGGGTTCAGTTTTCAAAAATTTCCAGGGGGGTTCACATTTGACAATTTTGGCTCAAATATGGCTAAAATTACTTGAGAAGTGCTCAAAATGGTGAAAAACTGCATGATTTTGAAAGAATTTTTGGCCGGGGGGGAGGGGGGTCACCAGAACCCTGCGAACCCCCCCTGGCTACGGGCCTGTGCTGTGTAATATTTACCACTATATACTGTACATATCTTGTTTTTCAAATTTTTTTTATCTGAAGTATACCTCTGTTTTAGTAGACATATAAACATTTATCTCAAAGTTGTCAGCTATGAGGTTTTTAACATATCCTCCCTCCTCAATAATCTCAGTTTGTTGCTCTACAAATTAGTGAGATATGATAGGAATTATCTGCTAAATTAAACTGTTATTTGACAGCAAGAAGCAGACACAGAAAAGCTGGTCATTTTTATCAGTGGGAATCTACAAATTCTGGAATTTGTAAATTCATTCAAAATGTTTCATGAGATCAGTGAAACAAATACAAGAATTTGAATGATATAGATTAACATCAAAGATGAATAAAGTTATAAAGAGGGTGTTTTATCTAAAACCTGATGTGATGCTGGTCTTTTAAAGATTAATTCTAACTTATATTAAGACCAGTATGTCAAGGGTATATTCAGATCATGTGGGAGAGGGTCCAGATTTTGTAGTTCACTGACTTATCTTTAATGTGGTCTTTATTAGATTTACCTGTTTCCAAGTGGCTTTCCCATCACATCAAGTAGACCTGTGTATAAGATGTCATGTTTAACATGTAAAATAGAGTGGAAATGGGTGGAATTTGCAAGAAATGAAGAAAATAGTATTGTACTCAAATATAACATTATAAAGAAATGTCATAAAATCAGAGTTCATTTATGGTAGTTACAGATATATGGTAGAAATGCCTGATTGAATTGATATCTAAAATTCTGTGAGACTATCCTTAAAATGTTTATCTTTGTCTGTTTGAGTCTTTAACTATGGCAGGTAAGGGAGACCAGGGAATGTCATTGTGTTATAGACTTGTTCTGGAAAATGCACTCGAGAATACATAAAATGTAATACAATATTTAGTAGTCTATCCTACCATCTTTACATTTTTTATGCATTGCTTAACATTTAGCGCTGTCACATTCAATATTTAATGAAATTATATGCATTTTAGAATTTGTCCATTATTAGCATAGGTGAAGTTATTTGTGAAAATTTTTTTTTTATTTAATTTTGTGGTCTTAGTATGATGGAGGAAATCAAGGAATGAGATAGATGTTAATGTTTAAAGAGCATTTGATAAAATGTTGATACTTTTACATGGATTTTATCATGGAGTTTACCTTGAAATAGATTATGCCTTGTATATATAGTAATTCTGCAAGAAACCTGTGATGTGTGCTGCCCCTTCTTAATGTATAAGATATTTTTAAGTTCTATATTCACCATACATTTAAAATGAGGAGACTTCCAACAGTTTTGATATTGCCACCATTTTTGATAAGATGATGTACATGAGGGGGGCAAGATTATGGATATAGCTAACATTTTTTGATTTTAAAACTTACATTTTTTTGATATAATTGTATTATCTGTCAATATCTTTGCAGATTTCATCATTTTCAATTTTATCATTGCAAATATTGTCATCATTGAGTAGTGTTAGGTGTTTAAACAGCATAGAGTATATATTATGTTGTATTACTATTTCCTCATCTCAGTCTGTATGTGTGTTTGTTTAGCTGTAGCAATCATGATGATAATTGTGATATATTAATATAAAATATTTACTGCAACATAAAATAAATTTCATTTATGTATGGTTTAGGTTGACACAACTGTTTTATGTTACAACCTATTTTTGATGGGGTTTGAGGGATCTCCAAGTATAAAGGAAAAACACTGTATATTGTGTAGTGTTAAAAGAAAACACTTTAACTGGTATCTCCATCTTTTATTTCAAATATTTTAAATATGGAAGAAGATATATTGTCAGATATAGTTCAGCAATTTCCAAAAAAAGAAATTAAAATCAATGTATGAAATGAAATCAAATTGAACATTGGCAATGGATATGTCATTCTTAATTAATATTAACCAGCATGAATATGTCAATCTCAGAGAATATTAACATTGCATATGGAATAGTCAATTTTCACTGTTTAATATAAGGATTAGTAAATCCATGGTTTCTCTTGTTAAGCTCTAGAATAAATTAAATAATAATCCCCTCGCAATATTGGAAATGTTACAGTGACATAAGTGTGTTTAGCCTATATTATTTGAAGAGGTACAAATGTGATAAAAAACAAAACCCACTTTTTATAATGAGATTGTTAAATCATAGTAAATTACACTATATTCTATTCATTGTAATATCATTGTAAATTGAATTCCCTAGCAATGATGGAAATATTTATCTAAAATGGAATTAGGAAAATGAAGGGAAAATAGGAAAATGAAGGGAAAATTGGGAAAATGAAGGGAAAATTGTTTATCATTGGGGGAATATAATCTGATGAGAAAATCTAACATTGATTTGTGAAATCAAAATGAAAAAAATCTAGAACAACTGTTCAACATATCAGGTTGAATGACAGGTGTTCTACTGTCCATTCTCTGTATATTCAAATCCCATGTTGGAAAGCGACAGATGCACTGAGTAATAAACACCTCCAGTAAAATTAATATTTGTTAATAAGCAAATTAGAAAATCAGAAGATTGAAAATTAGTTGGTATGGCAACCTCAATCCTTGTGCTTTAAATTATATCTCTAGTTGTTTATATCACAATTATTATTAAAAGATCTCAAGAAAAGGGAACTTGATTTGGATATGCTATACAAGTAAAATATGTATAATTTCTAATCAAAATTGAAATTAAAACTAGAATGGTTATAAAAATCTACAAATATTAACAAAAATGGAATCTTCTCATTTATTTACTTTACTAGTTTTCCTGAGATTGTTATTTTCAATTTATCACTTTCAAAACATGAGTTTTATTATAGATGTCTCCAACTGTCCTGCATCCAATTCATCACAAACTATTTATTATGGGATCTCTCAAACCTTTTTGACTTTTATAGACAATAAACTTCAATGTCAGGGTGAATAATGCTAGGTTTAACAGAATTTTAACGATCATTATACCTGTACTTTGTTGTTTCAGTGCCTTACTACAGAATGGTGGTGCCTTGTTAAAGCTTTGAAGTGCCTTATCAACAAATGATTTCGTCATTTCGAAAAAAAAACGTATAAGTAACAAGTTTGATGAATCTTCTCATCCAACTACAGCTGATCAAGACAACATTGATACATTTGAACAATTTGCCTTATAAGGACATATCGCTGTCGTACCTGGTCTTTTAAAGATCAAGGGGCAAGAATCTAAGATGACGGATAACCTTAATATGTTGGATGCCTCTGACATGCTGGCTGCAGCACTGGAGCAGATGGATGGAATCCTGGCAGGTAAGGTGGTTTATTATTCTACAGTAGGGTCAAGGAAGATTTTGATGTCTATAGTGGAGAAACTAGGGGCCAGTTTCATAAGTCTATTCATATTTTTTTTATTTCCTTCAAATTCAATCAGATTCACTATAATCTGAAACAAAATTGTTCTTCCTGAAATGTATTTGTATTCATGAATTTCATGAAATGTTATTAAATAATTTTCTTTTTTGGCAATAAACATCTTTTTATATTGACTCCTGGGAGCTTCTTAGACTTGTCTCCCAATTGACTCCATATATGTATTTTAGTAGATATATCGTCACAACAATAAATTGTTTACATCTTGATGTTTTCTGTCTCCAATGCTACCTGATGCATATATATTGCCATAACAATGAATTATTGACATCTGTATGTTTTCTGTCACCAGGGTTACCTGATACATATACCAACACCTGGCAAGGTGATAACTCAAGCACAGGTAAATGCTACAAGCTACAGTTAAGCATGTCCCCCCAAATGCCATGGCTGTTATATTTTATAATTTGAATTTTGATCAGTAAAGCAGAAATATATTTCTTATACGTCCTAAGCATACCTTAGTTCAGACAATCTGCCATGTAATCAATTGCAGCTGATATGATTGGCTCAACATGGTCAAATGTATGCATTGCCTGTACTAAAAGGTAAAGTCTTGTATATGTATAAGTCTCAGGTGCCTATTATATTGGTTGGTGCAAGACTCAAAATAGGTTGTATAAAAACTATATTCATTAAAACTTAAATCATCAGTATACTGCACAGCTTTAAAAATTGCTCAAGGTAATACAATCCTTCATTTATTTCCATGAGCCAATTGCTAAATTGTCTGTCTGAATTTTTGAAGTTAAGCAGTAAACTGTAATAAGTATATGAAAGCAAATGCTTGAAATTATATAGTAATAAAAATTAAGTAAGAAGCATGGCAAAACTGACATTTCAAACACAGGATGCTTGTGCTGTAATTACTAAGATTGATGCTTGTAACATTCACTTTTGGTTATTCATAGATATATTTCTGGTTCTCAGTTTTATTTTGGAATGGTAAAAGTCAAAGTGCACGGAGTGTGGGAAGCACCATTGCTAGAAAGTAATGGGGGCACCCAGAAATATCATTTGGAAATTTCTTATTTTCAGTTTTAATTTTCAGGATTTGAATTTTGTGATATCTGATTTTGGATTATTTTGTTTTGGGTTTTGATTTTGTGACATATGAATGCAAAAAGATGGCGCTCTAATATGTTTTTTATTTTTGCGTGAGTTGGGGTTTGGATTAAACGCATGGTGCTGTTCTTTCAAAAGGAAGGAGCTGAAGCAAAAAATAACAAGTTTGAATATATACTTTGTGCATTTTGTGCGAAATATTGCAGTTTTAAGCATTCTTTGAAATAATGAAAAAATCTAGAATAGCAATAAGCAGACAGTCATAGATCCAGACATATGTGAAATATTGTATTCCACGTAATTTAATCCCAAAACCTCTTTATGAAATATTTTGTAAACTCTGTGAAACCAACGGATGTTGGTTTTGTGTTATGGAAACATAAAACTCATCCGAGAGATAACATAGCATTTTACCTTGCATTTTATCTCAATTCATGGTAAAATCATTACCATACTGGACACCCCAGTAAAAGCACATATATTTTATGATCTTTTATCTAATCCATTTAATGTACCTTTAGTGCGGAATCATCCGTAAATGAAATATTTAGGTGGTTATGTTATGATATGCAAGAGTGTTAGAAAAATTTGCAAGAATGTCAGCAAGATATATGTAGTCAACACATCACATTGCGTGGATATGCTTCAATATTGGGATACTTTCTTGAAATAACTTTCTTAGGAAATGATGTAGAGAAATGCTGATCAGATAAAGATTGACGTTTCTGAGTTCGGGTTAAGTGACCCTGTTGAACCGTTCAAATAGTAAGCACCTCAAAATGGAGTACTTTTTAGATATAACATGTTTACTTGGGATAATGTAAACGCACTCTGCAGTGATTGGTTTACTTAAATGTATTGCTTCGGTAAATCTGCTGAAACAGCACTTCAAACACAGGGAGTATTTAAGAGTTTCCGTTTGTATATATCTCAACTGCAAATAGCTCAATAATACTAATATACCTGAAATGTATTTGACGTATGTGAACTGGTGAATTCTTCAGTAGGAGTAAACATAACCTGCCTGCAAGTTCTACATGCTTTATTTAAACACGTCAGGTGATACACATCTTATATGAAATACAAATCTTGAAAAAAACAGGAAAACACCAAGATTTTATTCAGATTTATACCTCATCAGGATATTTTCAGATAAAAACTTGTTTACAAATGAAAAATGATGATGTAATTGCTACTCGTATAGAATGCTGTAAATTGGAACTTAACAGTTTCGGGTTGTTTGCGAACAGAATGTTTAACATAAAACTTTCGTCCAGGAATTTGGAATAGTTGTAAAATTGGGACTCAACAAGTTAACATATACAAAATGTCTGATTCTGATATTGAGGAAGTCTATAGAGAGAATAGTGAACTGTATGATGATAATGGCTCTATAAGTGATCTACTTGAAGATGAACCATCAGATAATAGTACGAGGATTAAAGACAGCCATCATGACAGCAATGTTATTGAAGGTGAACATGAAGATAGAGGTAATGACATTATAAAGGAGGTGAGATTCTCTGAGATTAATGACTCAATTGTTGTTCAAGATGAACATATAGAGAATTTAGTAAAGGATATAAGCACTGATGACTCAAGTTTTAGTGATGTATATGCACATCAATATGAAGAACCCAATGATGGTGACAGCATTAAGGATGAGAGGATTAATGAAAATATAAATGTTATTGAAGAACAAATGGAAATTGGAACAACATGTAGTGAAACCACCAACGTTTATGATGTGCTCCTTATGGAGAAAAGCAGTGCAAAAGTTAATGCTACCAATACCAGAAATGATGGTCTGCATCTGAAAACTGAAGAAAACAATGATAAAGGTGCTTTTGAAAATGACTCAGATACTAAATATGAAGATGTACCTTTGAATAGTGAAGTCATCCCTAAAGCAACATCTTTTGATGATAGTGATAACATTACTTTAGACAGTGATGTAGTAAAAACTAACTTAGAAGGTGACATTGAGCATCATGTTACTGGGCCCCAGAAGGATGGTGCTGATAATATTAAGGATGATGAGCATGCTATTGGTACAAATGAGGATGGTACAGTTGATATTGAAAATAATAATACAGAACCATTTGAAGATTGCCCTCTGGATTATTATACCATTAGTATAAAAGAAGATAATATCTCTGATGACGCAACAACAGATGAATCCATTGAAGATAGGCCTATAGATTATTCTACTACTAGTGCCCAGAAGGACAATACGTATGTGGCTGAGATATTTGAATCTCCTGAAGTTGGCAGTCCCAATGATTTGAAGGATAATAAACATGTCCTTGAGGTAAATGATGTAAAGGTTTGTGAAGATAATATTGCAGGTACAAGCGAGATGAAAATATCTGGTAATGACACCGATAACTTAGAACTACAATATGGCCCTCCAATGAATGACAAAGATGCTACCACAAGAGAGGACAATGAAACCACATTAGACAATAACTATACTGGTAAACTAGAACATATAAAGCTGTACAAATCTATGGAAGACTATGCTGCAAGAGTAAATGCAAAGGATATATTTGTTGGTGATATTGATGGTATCATGGATGCATCTGACGATGACTCTACAGGAAGTAGTACTGCCACAATAAGCAGCAGTAGTGGCAGTTTAGAAATTGACAATTCGGGGATCATTGAACTGCACATTTGGGAAGAAGATCTAGAATCTCTTACTTTGGATTCAACAGGTGAGTGAAAAACAGTTTCATTAATACTCCTTCCATGAAATGGCTGAACTGAATGAAATGATCATGGACCAGATAACATATTAACAGGTTATTAATAAATACATTTTAACAGATCATCTGGGCAGATGATCTGTCACTACATTGAGTAAGTAGGGCATTATTATAAGACTTGACTGTTTTTGAAAACCCGCAAAAAGAAAGTTTATTAGGAATTAATCAAAAGTTAATAGAGGCTCTTATGTTACATTCTGCCAAGATGTAAAACAAATGAAACCATCAGGGAAAATTATTGAAAAGTATAATCAACATGGACATAGTTGTAAAACTACTTCAAACAACATACCATTTTGATAAATACATAAAAATGGATAAGAGCCCATTGCTCTCTGCTTATGAAACTGAGTTTTGGTTCATGTATGGACACCCTGATTTGGGGTTACGTAGGCATGAACAACAAACATAAATAATGTAGCAGGTTTTGCAGCTTGCTTTTTCCAAGGGGGTTCACTTTTTGAAAAATTCCAGGGAGGTTCACATTTGACCATTTTGACCCAAAACCACTGAAAAAGTGCTCAGAGGTAAAAATCTGCATGGTTGTGAAAGAATCTTTAGCCAGAGGGTTGCTTGCACCCCTTGAACCCCCCCCCCCCTCTTGGCTACAGTCCTGTGGCTAAATGAGAATAGATGAGCTATGATTCATTGGCTCACCTTGTTGTGAACTTGGAAGCTATTTGTTTGATTCCTTACAGATGGTTGTTTTTAGAGTGTTGTTGTCTGTTGTCTGTCTAAGCTAGATGTAATAGCTGGTTGTAACATAAGAAAGAGATAACAGATAGGAGCTTTTGTGATAGGTGTTTACCTTAAAGTCTTTGAACTCTTGAGGTTTTCTCTATTGAATGAACTATTGAAATTATTGAAATATAAATATTGAAAATGAAATACTCCAATGGATGTTATCTCAATTTTTGTGTGTTTTTGAGGATTTTTTTTATTGTTGCGTTATAAATAGCTTGTTTAGATTGTCGGTTAATATGTTTTTTTGGTTTTATGTATTCTTTAAGTGCATCTTCTGATTTATTATTCTCAGTAATTAAGTAATGCTAACCTGGACATAAAGTATATTAATAAATATTAAGTTTTCAGTTTCAGATGCTTTCACTTTTGCATTATCAAAAACAGGCCATAAGAAGTAGATTCTTTGTTTTGCATCCTGGCAAAATCCAAATCATGCAAGGGTACAAGGAAAACAAATACAAACTCAAGAAAAAAGATAAACGTGTTTGCTGAGAAATGTATACATTTAATTGGCATAAAAGGGATGATATAGCAATTTGCAGTGATTACAAATACATATCTATACATTTTATACAATATATTTAAACATAGCTATTATTCAAGGGTAAAAAATAAGAAAATACACAATGTATGCCAAAGTAATCAATAACACTGTCAATTTTGACGCACATCAAATTATCCGCCATTTCGTCTGATTCTGATTGAACGAAATGTGATGGTATTAGCTTTCAGACCTTTGTGATTGGTATTTGGATGTGTTTGTTTTACGTGTGATTTACTCAAAATCGTGCAAGCAAGGGGACAAACACAAAGAATCTACTTCTTATGGCCTCAATTTTACCTGCATTCTACAAGTACTCAAGGACTCATGAGCAAGTTCTTTAATGTAAAGGACGATTCTCGGTTTGGAGAACAGTCTCCTGGGCTAATAATTTTTTTCATGAAAAATATAGAAATATTACCCAAATTAAACTATGAATATTCAAAAGAGGACATTTAAATCTACAAGATGTAAAAATAACAAATTGGTCTGAAGCAGGGATAAAGCTCAATTTGACCGATTCAATAAAATACAAGTCTCGATTTGGGGAAAGAAGTTCATAAGTGTACTGCGCTAATATTTTTTTGCGAAAAATCTAGAAATATTACCCAAATTAAATTATGACTATTCAAAAGAATACATTCAAATCTATATTATGTAAAAAGTTCAAAGTTGTCCGAAGCAGGGATAATGCTCATTTAGATTGATGAACTTCGTTCTCCAAACCGAGAATCGTCCTTTACTTTGTTCATTTACTATTCCATTTTTGTATATAATGTACATCAAGTTTTCTGTCAATTCTTTCTCTGCTTGGTCTATTTTCCCAACAGAAGTTGTGGCAGTATCACCCATAGTAAAAATGTCACAATTGTCCTGCTTTGAAATGTGATATAATATAGTAAAAAGAGTATAACAAGAAACAATGTGAAGAGGCATGTAATTAGCGCTCCAAAGTGTATACAGTTTTCAGAAAATCGGGTACTTCACTCTAATTTTGATACAAAAAGATTCAATAAGTATGACGAGGAAGTAATTTTAGGCATGGGAGATTTTGTTCAAGTTTTGCATTAACTCACCTGTATTGACAGGTAATAATCATGTTCTTAGAACATATCCTGTTTTTCCAGTTGATCACATTTATTAACGTCTACTAGGATTTGTTCTGATCTACTAGGAATTTCTTTATTGACATATTATTTATGTTGATGAAATATCATTTTGTCTGGTTGAGAAAAATGATATTTATGTTAGAAACAAGTCAAATTCTTTACTTCAGAGAATATTTTTAATTTATTGAGACTTGTTTTGACTTGTTTCTGATATATTAACCAGAGAGATGAACTTACATAGAGATATTTATGTTTTTAGCTCTATCTTCTGTTAATAGATGTCATCTTATAATGGTGGATATGCTTCTAGCTCTGTTTACTTGCAATAGATGTCTCTCTATGAACAGTGAGGGGGCATTATCAGTTGGTTGTATTGTGTGTATAAATGCTCAGTCATTTAGGATCTAATGTAGAAATGTAGTATAATTACATAACTAGACCCAATCTTGTTGGTTAAAAGTTATGACAATTGACAGCGTAAGAAATCATGTCTTTTAGGAGGAATGAACATTGCAGAGAAAAAAGCCATGCATTCTTGTGCATAAGACAATTCTCAGGTGCCGGACACGACAAGTCTGGATATTATGCCGTATGGATAAAGAATAGCTTTGGATATTTTGTTATGAAATAGATCTGGATAGACTTGGATAGTTCAATATAGAATGGATACCTATGAATAGATTGGTATCAGCTGATTGGGATACTTCGAGAAAGATTGGGATAGTTCTCATAAGGCTGGGATTGTGGATACTCTGGAATAGAGTAGGATAGAACTGGATAGATTGGGATAATTGTCATAGCTTTAAATAATTCTGAATATTAAAAGTAACATATATTTAGATGATAGATTTTGGTAGTGCTCTAAAGATAGCTATGCAGGGAAATAGATGTGGTTGAAAGATTAGAATGGTCTTGGGATAAGATAGTTTGACAATGTTATGATTCCTGTAAGCATCTGGTTGTCTTTTGTTTATCATTAATGGCAGTTTAATGACTTAAATAGATAGCAATTTGATTGGAAGTATCACCTGTTGTTTCATTTCATTTCTGATGTTCACAATTTTACTTTCTGGTTAAATGTAAAGCTGCTTGATGGAAGAACTTGATTTTGCTTAATTCTGAAAAAATTTAGAAGAAATTAATTTCCAAAAATCCTTATATATACCAAAATTAAAAAGGATAACTCGTTCCATCAATAGACATTGTTATAAACCTATTCTTCAAATATTAGAGCTTGAAAAAATATATGACTCCCAAGTTTGCTTTGTGGACTACAACTGTCTCAACATGAGTTTGTCAGAATTTAGGCCCATTATAGAATTTGCCTAGCATGTATGCATTTGCAGAGAGAAAGGGACATAGGGGTTATGTACCCCTTCCAGTAGTTTGATTTTGCCTCTTTAAAAGGGAGGTTCATCTACAATTTCTAAGCCCTGACACTCAGGGCAGGGTTGGAGATAACAGAAAAGGATGCATTACTCAGCCAGGATTTGCCAAGGGGGTTCACTATTTGGAAAATTCCAGGGGGGTTCACTTTTGACAATTTTGGTCCAAAAATGCCCAAATGCACTTACAAAGTGCTCGGAATGGTGAAAAACTGCATGATTTTGAAAGAATTTTTGACTAGGGGGGGGGGGTTGCTCGAACCTATCGAACCCCCCTGGCTACAGGCCTGTCTATATACTAGAGGTGTGCACTGTTGGTAAATCACTTAATCGATCAACAAAATATTTTAATCGATTAATCATCGATTAATCATTCTAATATAAATGATAGAGATCTGACATAATTTCCTTACAATTTTCTAATTCTTTAGTAGTAGGCGATAATTCACTCGTTTGATTTGATTGCATACCTCTATTGAATAAAATATATCAATAAGATGTATCAGAAAACACAAAAACAACAAAGGTAAGCGTCTAGCTTAGGGTAATAATTAGCTTGTTTGGCAGTTTGAGTTTTAAGCTTGGCATGTCAACCTGACAAATTAGGTCTCAATCAGTCAGTGACATCATGTAAGCTTACTCACGGCAGGATATTGAAGATTATCTTTTTGAGAATCAGTTAATTGAGTATTAAGAATCTTAATCGATTAAACTTGTGTCGATCAATTAATCGATGATCGATTAAAAATTCACACCTCTACTATATACTCAGTCATATATAACACCTTGATGGATCAAGGTAAACTCATGGTAGGATTGTAGATTAACAAAGAAGGATGCAACACAACTACTGACCCTGTCTTATCATATGTTATCTATTCTCTGTAGAGGTCAACTGAAAGAAGGGATGCTATACTAACACACCTATCACCTGTGTTTAAATTTCCATGGTGATCACATAAAATCATCTCAGTTTCTCTAAATTTTGAATGAAGAATTTAATTTTCTTGCATTTCCATACAATTTAGAGTATCGACTACAAGAATGTTTAATTTAATCCTTGCTAATTCCACTCCTTTTCTCTTTATTTTGCAATCCAAATCATGACCAAAGTGAGAAATTTCTCATAGCTATCTCTCACACCAGGTATCTGGTCTTCAAGGAATTCTGGTCCATCT